AAAAAAAAAAAAAGATAGAGGTGAGCTGGAGAGATGGCTCAGCAGTTAAGAGCACTGGCTGTTCTTCCATAGGTCTTGAGTTTAATTCCCAGCAACCACATGGTAGCTCACAACCATCTGTAAAGAGATCTGGAGCCCTCTTCTGACCTGCAGACATACATGCAGACAGAACACTGTATACATAATAAATAAATAAATCTTAAAAATAAAAAAAAAATGAAAGATAGAGGCACTTTAAGCCTCCAGTGGCTGGAAAGTCAAGAACTTGTCACCAGTTTCTGTTTGGTTCTTGTGAGGGCCTCATGGAGACTGGCACCACAGTGTGGGATTCTGAGGGCAGTGTCACATGGGGAAGCAGGAAATGGGAGCAAGTCACAGGAAATGCCGGGCTTATTGATGGCTCACTCACTCAGACTCCCGAGAGCGAGAGCACACTCCTTGCAGAGAAGCATCAACTCGTTTTAAAGATCCAACCACCTGTGACCTCTGCATTGCCCCAACGATGACCAAGCCTTCTCCAGCACATGAGCCCAGTGGGGACCACACCCGGGCACAGCAGAGAATACGAAGCAGACAGGCCTGCATCCCCACCCCTGGCTGAGGTCAGTTCCCAGAAGACCAAAAAGCCTCACCTGATTAGGCCAGAGCCACTCGGAATCATATTCTTCTTGGATGAACTCAAAGACCTCTTTAGAGGGACTTTCTCCCCAGACCCCTTCCCAGTCACACCTCAGCAAGTCACATAAACAACCAGGCCCCAGGCCTCAGCCTGCTGGGATGGCCTATGAAATGGTCCCTCACAGTGTACCACTTACCCACTCAGCTCCCATACACAGCTCCTTAAAGCATATTTACATACATACCAAATAAAGCCATATCAGGGTCATACCACCACTAAGCAAGCATAACACAGTCCATCTTTAGGCCCGTGAAACTATGTAAGCCCATTCCTCAGAGATCATTGGTAGATGCTGACAATTCTTCCAGGTCCTGTAACCACAATATACCTAGCAATTTGGAGCACATCAAAAGAAAGAGAGAGGGAGGGAGGGAGAGGGAGGGAGGGAGAGGGAGAGAGAGGGGGGGGGAGGGAGGGAGGAAGAAAGAAAGAAGAAAGAGGAAGAGAGGAAGGAAGGAAGAGAGAGAGAGAAAGGGAAAGAAAAGAAAAAGCATAATTTGTCTGTTATCTTTGTTTATCTTGTGGGGTGGAGAGCACACCTGTGTCGTGGAGGTCAGAGGACAGCTTACAGGAATCAGTTCTCTCCTTCCACTAGGTGGGTTGCGAGTATTGAATTCAGGTCATCAGGCTGGGCAGCACTCACCCCTGCCCACTGAGGCATCTCTCCAGCCTTCTATGAACACATCTTATATTACTGATAAGGGCATGTGAGAGTAAATAAAAAATATTTAGGGGCTGGCACAATGGCTCAGTGGGTCACCAAGCCCGATGACTTGGATCTGATCTGCGAATCCACATGATATTGAGAACTGACTACCAAAAGTCATCTCTGGCCTCCACATGCATTCTATGGCATGTACACACACATACATTAAAAAAAAAAATAGCAGCTAGGTAGAGGGCTCATGGGTAAAATGCTTACTGTGTCAGCATAAGGACCTGAGTTCAGTCCTCACAATGTGTATGAAAACTGGGTGTGTGGGCTGGAGAGATGGCTCAGCAATTAAGAGCATTGGCTGCTCTTGCAGAGGTCCACCCAGGTTCCGATTCCAGCATCCACATGGAAGCTCATGACCATCCATAACTCTGGTTCCAGGGGATCCAACACCTTCTCCTGGCCTCCACAGGCACCAGCATGCATATGGTGCACAAATATACACTCATGAAAACACTTACACACGTAAAATAAAAGTAAGTAAAATTTCAAAACAGGACAACAACAAAAACAAACAAACAAAAACAAAGCAGGTGTGGTGGTGAGCAACTGTTGTCCCAGCTCTGGGGGAGGTGGAGGATCCCTGAGGCTCTCAGGCCAGCCACTGTCATTGGTAAGCTCCAGGTTCAGTGAAAGATTATCTCAAAAATAAGGTGAAGAGTGATAGAGTAAAGCTCCTGATGTCACCTTCTACATGTGCACCCCCCAACATACATACTCATAATGTCAGCCACGTGATCGTAGCATATGTTCATGATGTGCTCTTTCACTGGTCCATTCGGGTTGCCTTTGCAACCTCCCTGCCCAAAGCACTGGTCCTGGCAGGTGACGGAGCCTTTATTTCTGAAGGCTTGGGGTATTAGGGACCCTGATTGCATTGGGTTCTTGGGGTCTCCCATTAGCTGTGACATAGAGAATGGAAGTGCCCCAAGAGGCCAAGAGGCCCTCTCATACGCCAGGCATGGTCTCCTGTATTTGTTTTTGTTTTTTTGAGACAGGGTTTCTCTGTGTAACAGCCCTGGCTGTCCTGGAACTCACTTGTAGACCAGGCTGGCTTCGAACTCACAGAGATCCACCTGCTTCTGCCTTCTGAGTGCTGGGATTAAAGGCATTGCGCCACCACACCTGGCCCCGAACCCATTCTTTCTCATTCCTATAGACAGCATCAATTTGCCATCCCTTTGATGGTTGGGATCAATCCCCCTTCCACAAAGGTCTTCCTTGGCTGGGGACTCAGGGCCAGAGTGGCATGCATTTATGCTCCAAATAATAAAAACATCATGGCTTGGTGTCAAATCTGAAACTCCCTAGGTCATGGGATGAGTATGTAGTCTAGTTGGTAGAGTGCTTGCTTAGCATATGTGAGACTCTGGGTTCCATCCCTAGTATCAAAAAAAATCAAGTATGGTAGTGTATGCCTATAATCCCAGCACTCAGGAGGTAGAGACAGGAGTATCAGAAGTTCAAGGTAATCCTTGGCTACATGGTGAGTCGGAGGCCAGCCTGGAGTCTTATTGGGAGTTGGGGAAAGAAGGAAAAGAAAGGTAAGAAAGAAACCCACCAGATCAGCAGGGACAGAAATGAGCATTTTTGTCAGTAGTTGTTAAAGGGACATGTCCATGTATCACGGCCATGTCCACCCTGGTTCCTGGACCCCAGCATCCTGTCTAGGGAGACAGCTGCCCACCCTGGACACTGCATTAGAACATTAGACCTTGCCAGCCCCACAAAGCATTGCCACTGGCTGATCCCATCACAAGGTCTTCAGAAGGCCACCCCACTATTTGGTCAGGCTTGCTGTTCCTGTGGCCGTGGCCAGGGTGGTTGTGATGGGTGGACAGCAGGTACAGTGACAGCCCTCATGGTGGCCATGGTGGCTGGGTTAGTTACTTGTCTCATGGCTGTGACAAAATGCCTGACGAAGGCCACTTAAAGGAAGGGGAAGGGTTGCTGTGGCTTGCAGTTTGAAAGATACAGTCCATCGTGGCAGAGAAGGCATGACCTCAGGATCATGAGCTGGTGTCAGAAAGCAGAGAGAGAAGAGAACTTTGTTCAGCTCAGCCCATGGCATTGATGTCACCCACGTTCAGGGTGGGTTTTACCATCTCATTTAACCCCATCTAGATACTCTCTCACAGACATGGCCACCATGAGTCTAAACCCCGTCTACTTGACAATCAAGATTGGCTATCAGCAGGCCTGGGGAAGTGGTTCAATGAGTAAAACACTTGCCAAGCAAGTATGAGGATATGAGTTCAAACCCCAGAACTCATAAAAAACCAGCACAGTAGTGCACATCTGTAATCCACCTGCCTCTACCTCCAGAGTGCTGGGATTAAAGACATGTGCCACCACACCAGGCTCAGAGGTTAAGAGTTCTTTCTGCTCTTCCAGAGGACCCAAGTTCAGTTTCCAGCACCCACATCAGGTGGCTCACAACTGCTTGTAACTTTAACTTTAGGAAATGGGATGCCCTCTGTTTCTGCGAGTGAGAGTGCACACACACACACACACACACACACACACACACACACACACACACACTGAAAAATAGATTAGGTATCATTATGGCTGTGATGTTTGTGGCCTTAAAGATAATGATGTGGAAGGCTGGGGCCCTAGTCGTCAACAGTGGCTGTGGTGGTGGCAGATGGCTCCCCTGTGCACTGGCCACAGCCTGAGTGTGCTCACTAGTCTCTCCTGGTGTCTCCCCACTTAGCGGTAGAGGAGCCTGTGCCAGATGACCGCTACCATGCCATCTACTTTGCCATGCTGCTGGCTGGTGTGGGCTTCCTACTACCATACAACAGCTTCATCACTGATGTGGACTATCTTCACCACAAGTACCCAGGTGAGTCCCTCTGCCATCTGCACTGCCCTCAAAGGCAGCTCAGTACCCTCTGCCTGGGCCAGGGCCTTCTGGGAATCCCAAGGGGTGGGCTCCTGCTTGGAGATGTTGTATGGAGAGAACTTTGGATGTGGTTTTTGGGGACCCAGCAGGGAACTGTACCAAGCTGGGTGGATGAGTAACTGTGGCGTGGCCTTTATCTGGAGAATGTAGTTGTTACTTTCTTGTGGCTATGGTAAAAGGCCTGGCAAAAGCCACTGAAGGGAGAGAGGGACTTGTTCTGACTTACGGTTTGCTGGATGTGGTCCACCCTGAGAGAGAAGACTGGGAAGGCTTGGTGGAGGGAGTGGGGGGCTGGCTGGTCACATTGTAGTCACACTCCGGAAGCAGAGAGCGAGCTGGAAGTGGTTCCCCCTGTAAAATCCCAAGACCCTCCCTGGTGACTGACATCCTCCAGTGGGGCTCCACCCCCTAAAGGGTCTGCAGCCTTCTCAAACAGCATCACCGGCTGGGGACCAAGTGTTCCAGCGTGTGAGCCCATGGGGACATTTCACATTTGAACCTCGACAGGGAAGAAAGGTAGGCTATGGACCTACGTGTGGAGGCTGAGTTACCCAGGGACCAACATGGCAGGCCGAGGGACAACTGTCAAGTTTGGGAATCTCCTCTCCTCAGGGTAGCCACTGATTCACTCTGAGCAATCAGCCCCTGGGGGAGAGTGAAGAGCCCTTGCAGGGGTGAGTGCCGAGGTTGGAAGTCCCAGTCACTGTCCCTCTCATATCCAGGGACCTCCATTGTGTTCGACATGAGCCTCACCTATATCTTGGTGGCGTTGGCGGCTGTGCTTCTAAACAACGTTGTGGTGGAGAGGCTGAACCTGCACACTAGGATCACCACAGGTATTCAAAGCTACCCTGTGCTGTCCCCTCCCAGAGGCTCCAAGCGCCTCCGAGCCCATGGCACCTGCCCACCCAGCTTCCTAGCCTTGTCTGTGAAACACATGCTTTTTCCTTATTTTTAATAATTTATTTTATGTACATTGGTGTGAAGGAGTCATATCCCCTGGAACTAGAATTACAGACAGTTGTGAGCTGACATATGGGTGCTGGGAATTGAACCCAGGTCCTCTGGGAGAGCAGCCAGTGCTCCCAACTGCTGAGTGATCTCTCCAGCTCCACACGTGCTATTTCTAGACCACTGTGGGCTTTGCGCATGGAAGTCAGCATCAGGCCACTTGCCAGTACAATGGCAAACGCTTCCACAGGCTCTTGTGACCCCTAAGTTACAGCCCTAGATCCCTACATAAGCTCTCCCCTCTGTCCATCCCCCTGCACAGTGGCTTGCAGCTTCAAGGCTCAGCTCCGATGACTACTCCTCCAGAAAGCCCTCAGAATTTCCCTGTAGACTCTCCTGGAGTCTTCTACCTACCTAATATTCTGGGGACAGGTAGCCACAGTGTCTGAGACATAGCTCTCTGGAAAGTGGGGTGAGGCGAGGAGCGCCCACCTGGCGCTCACCGTGACCCTCACGACTTCTCTGCTCCCTGCAGGCTACCTCCTCGCCTTGGGTCCCTTGCTCTTTATCAGCATATGTGATGTGTGGCTTCAACTCTTCTCTCACGACCAGGCTTACGCCATCAACCTGGCCGCTGTGGGTACTGTGGCCTTTGGATGCACAGGTAGGGAGTGGGGCCAGGATGCACCAGAAGGGCTAAGCCTAAGTGTTCTGTAGCCCTGTTGTACAGGTAACACACTCTACAAGGTGAGTCAGTCCAGGTGCTGGCCGTGTGTCTATGAATACACCAGAGCACGTGTACACACCACACACATGCACACACAGGCACCAAGGTGACTCTCATGTGGCACAGGTTTGGAGTGCAGCCCCCTGGTTTTCTTGAACTCCAGATTCTCCTGTCTCTACCTCCTTCATGCTAGGATCACGAGCATGCACCCCCACACCCATATCATGGAGTGCTGGGCACAGAACCCAGGGCATCATGGATGCCAGGCAACCTCTTGTACTAGCTAAGCTCACTCCCTCTTTTTTACTGAGACAGTCTCGAGCAGTCCAGGCTGGCTTTGAACCCCTAATCCTGCTGCCTCCAGTTCCCAAGTATTGACATTATGTGTGTACATCCACACACTCAGCTCTCCCTTGCTTTTTTGGGGGGCGGGGGGTAGGGGTGGGTTTGAGACAGGGTTTCTCTGTGTAGCTTTGCGCCTTTCCTGGAACTCACTTTGTAGCCCAGGCTGGCCTCGAACTCACAGAGATCCGCCTGGCTCTGCCTCCCGAGTGCTGGGATTAAAGGCCTGCACCACCACCGCCCGGCTCTCCCTTATTTTTACTACATGGTCCAACCCCATCAGAAATGGGGCAGGAGCTGTGTTCCATACAGCCACTCAGAGATTTAGGTTGACAGCCCCATTTCAACCGATAGCCTCTACCATCACTACTGGAAAAAAAGGCTGAGAGTAAGTTTGCCCTGTGTCATCCAGCAAGGGACAGGTATCATCTCCACTTGCATCAGACAGCACTTGTCAGTGGCCTTGAACCCCAGGGGCAGGGGGGTGGCTGCTCTGTGTGCTATGTTCAGGGCAACACTGTTTCCTTCCCGTGTTGCTGTGTTAAGTCTCACCGCCGCTCTAGTGTTAGGCTCTCTGGGCACCTGTCCTCCAGTGCCAACACAGCACGGGCGGTCCACATTGCCTCTGTGTCAAACGATACCTGACCACTTCCTCCCTCTCTCTCTTAAGTGCAGCAATCTAGCTTCTATGGCTACACAGGATTACTGCCCAAGAGGTACACGCAGGGGGTGATGACTGGAGAGAGTGAGTATCGAGACCCCCAGGGGCCTCAGTCTGGGAAGCCTACCGGGCATGCCCTAGTTAGGGAAGTGTGCCAGAAAGCTCTACACATGCTGGATTGGGGGTGGTGACTGTCGATGGCAAGGGATGGCCCGACAGGCGGGAGGGCCACGTGTGCACACCTATGTGTGCCTGGGTCCTAGAGGGTGGAATTCCTTTGGAGCATGAGAGCCACAGTTCCAGTGAGTGTGCAGTTGGGGATATTTGCGTACCCACTGTGATTTTTTTCCAGAGAGATGTAATCAAATGTCTGCTCGCTCCAGATAAGACACCATTGGTATACCAAAACCCAAGCCACCCAGGCTAGCTTTGCGGCCCCTGTGAGTTTGTTAGGACTGACTTACAGGAGCATCACCGTGTTAATTCGGGGAAACTGTGCCTGGGCTCCTGGCAGAGCCTGCAGACAGCTCTGCTGCTGGCGGGAGACTCTCCTCCCCCCAGCGAGTGTGACTACTGCTTGGATAACCTTCCGGAGGGGCCTTGAGAATCTCATGTGGTTCAGCTAGACTTTTAATCTTTATTTCTTGAGTCTTTTGAACCTCCCTCCTTCCTTTAGGAGGGAGTGTTTCAATTTTAGAAATTTGCAAAATTGTGTGTCTGTGTGTGCACTCAGGACCAAATCCTCCTCAAATTCCCCCTATCCAGCGCCACCAGACACCCTTGCTTATCACTCTGCTACTTAAACCCTTTTGTCTGCCAAGGCACACCCCAGATGCCCCTTTCTGATACCCAGCACCCTTGCACAAGTCTGAAATTTACCCAATGTCCAGACCTCAAAAGACCTCTGGACATGCCCTCCAGGAGGACTCCAAGTGTGTCCCATCCCACCCTCTATTCCATAGCTGGTCACAACCCAGCAAAAAGCTGGGCCCAACCATCATCATCCTCAGGGGCTGCTCTCTGAATCTTGGCTTCTTCTGCAATGTATTGCCTGGAACATCAAACCACACCACCTAGAGCTGACTTCTGGAAGGTGGTCAGCACACAGGTGGCTTTGCAAGCCAGCAGATTTTTGTTGTTGTTGTTTTGAGAGAGGGTCTCATATAGCTCAGGCTGGCTTCAATATAGCTGAGGATGACCTTGAACTTGTGATCTTCTTGTTTCCAACTCCCAAGTGTTGGGATTCCAGGCATGTGCCATCTCTCTCTCTCTCTTTCTTCTTCTTCTTCTTCTTCTTCTTCTTCTTCTTCTTCTTCTTCTTCTTCTTCTTCTTCTTCTTCTTCTTCTTCTTCTTCTTCTTCTCCTCCTC